TCAGCGAATGACGTATTATGCAAAAAGAGTGTGATATTCGCGATCAGCATGTCGAATACCCCTCCCCCAGACCGATTTTTAGCAAAATTCACGACTTCGAAATTTTGGGCCGGGATACTGGAATAGCGCCAATTATTCTGATTGTTCAAGTGAAAACAATCCGCTTGCTTAGTTTTGTAATGAAATAGTCCTTATCCTACAAAATGTAGCCTCAATGAATTTCTTATCCTTTTTGTCGCATTTTATCGGGATGATTTAGCTGCTATTCTTTCTCCCAGTAACTGTTCGCAAGTAAATGAGTTTGCCTCTTTTCAGGATGAGGTTAAACGAGAATGTAAAAATCATTGGAAAAAATGTTATACTTGTACCATATGAGAGCCATCATGTGCCCAAGTATCATGACTGGATGGAAGATGAGGAGATAAGAAGGTACTTTTCTTCCTAACTTCCATGGATTGCTAGAATTTCTCTCACCAGCTTTTTTGGAATGGATGTTTTTGGGAGAGGGAGGGGAGGCGCAACAGAATTTTTTTGTATGAGGGACAACTTCACGAAATTTGCTTTACAAAAAGACTTTATTTTGGAGTATTGGACAATTTTTTCGACGATTAATATTGGAGCAAAACACTTGCACACTTCTGTTTATGTAGAACACATCCCCCCTCCTCCTCTCAAATCATCCGCCAATGTTTTTACCAGAATTTTCCAAATTTTCAGAATAGCTACCGTCATTTCTATGATGACTATAGCAAAGCTTCTCCTTACTTTCTAGTATAACGCAAAGTTTAGATTAACAGGGTCCGAGCGACTGTCGCTTGAACAAGAGTACGATATGCAGCGAACTTGGCGCACAGATGAGGACAAGCTGACTTTCATTATTTTATCAAAATCATTGGCAGATAAGGGTTTGACTGAGGTAACTTTTGAGCTGTCGGTGATGTTTTCAGCTCGGTCATTTGAATTATCCTTGCAGATCGAAAGTATGATCGGAGACGTGAACTTATTCATTCAGTTGGAAGATAGCGCTGGGGAATTAGAAATCATGATAGCAGAAAAAACTGCTCGAGGCACTGGAGCTGGCACGGAAGCCGCTTCCCTTATGATTTCTTATGCTCTCAAAGAATTAGAGATCAAGAAGTTCTTCGTCAAAGTGACAGATGATAATCAGGCTAGCTTGCACTTATTCGAGGATAAGTTGAAATTTCGTCGAGTATCCCATAGTGACGTCTTTGGAGAGTATACTCTTGAGCTCCCTGAATCTGAGATGTGCTCATTCAGAGAAATATTACATACAGCCTATATGGCCCCTTATAGGGAATAAAAAATCAAATTTTATCTCTCCTGTTCTTATTCTTGTGATGCTGAAATTATGTTATATCGGGTCACTTTTTATTTTTTTGTTTTTGTAGATCTGCTGCTAGAAGTACCGTAGGCGATATTGTAATTTTTGTTTGTCTCACTTCCGCTGCTCGATTCCTGGATTTTTTGATTATCTGTATGATATGAAAATTATTAGAAATTCCATTCTCTGTTGTTCCCGGTGTCCAATGACGTCATTGAAAGAAATAGTAGACTATATACTGTTGTGTAGAATGCCATATTCATGAAGTTTCAGTCATATTTACGCGATCGTATGTGGTTTCACTAACGTAGTGGTTTTATTAGAACTTAGGTGGATCTGGTTCAGCATGTAACTGAAAGCCTGTATATTCAGGTACTGACGGTAATTGAAGCAATTGCATCCAAAACTCTTGTGAAAGTTGCAAAAAGGATGAGAAGACAAAGTCATCCTAAAAGGATCATATGCATCGCTTGTTAGAATCTTGATCTCATGCTGTATC